AAAGAAAGAAAGAAAGAAAGAAAGAAAGAAAGAAAGAAAGAAAGAAAGAAAGAAAGAAGAGCTATGGAAGAACCAACTGGAAAGATACCAGCTTGGAACAAAGAGTATGAAATCTTACCCAAGAAACAAATTTCCTGAAAATTAAAATGGACTGGGGTAAAAAAAAAAAGATGATCACTACATGAGACAACAAAAAAAGCTTGAAAATTAGAAGAAAATATAAGATATCTCATAGTAAAAACAACTGATCTAGAAAACAAATCAATGAGAAAAAAATTTAAGAATCACTGGAAAACCTGAAAGGTATGACAGAAAAACACCACAAAACAAAAAACCTGGAAATCATATTTCAAAAAATGTTAAAAGAAACAAGCCTAGCTCTCTTAGAATCAAAAGGCAGAGAGAATAAAGAAAGAATCCATTGGTCACTTCCTGAAATAAAACCCAAAATGAAAACTTCCAGGAATATTAGAGCCAAAATCCAGAGCTTACAGGTTAAATAAATATTACAAGCAGTCAGAAAGAAAAGAATACACGTACCAAGGAAACAGAGTCAGAATCATAAAAGATTTAGCAGCCACCACTATAAAGGAGTAGAAAGCTTGGAATATGATATTCCAGAAGGCAAAGGATAAAGGTTTATAGCCAAGATAAACTTAACCAGCAAAACTGAGTATAATCTCACAGGGGAAAACTGGACCTTTAATAAAACTGAACACTTCCAAGCATTCCAGATGAAAAGATCAGAGCTGCATAGAAATTCTGAAGTGTGAACACAAGAGTCAAGAAAAACATAAAAAGGAAAATAAATGCAAATAATCACAAGGGACTAAACAAGGATAAAGTGTTTACATCCTAATATGGAAAGATAATACCTGTGCCCCCTCTGACCTCTATCATCTTCTGGGCTCATAGAGGGACAGTAATTAGACAGAAGGCCTGGTAGTTATTCTGTTATGTCTTGCTGATCTTATAAAAAGAATGAGAAAAAAGTAGAAGAGGAATATACTATGGTGAGGAAGATTAGGGAGAATTTTCACACGTAATCAGGTTGCACATGTAAAAGTTTGTACTAATAAGGACAAAGACAGCAGAAGCTGACATTTGAACCTCACTTTCATATGAATTGGCCAAAAGAGGGAAGAATATATACAAAGAGTTGAGTACAGAAATACAGTTAACTCAATGGATAAATAGGAGGAAAAGAGAGATGCATAGATTAATGGGAGGTTAAGTTAAAGGAAGGATTAGTCCTAAGCATAACAACCTCTAAGGATTTCCAAAAATATTTATGACTTTTTTAGAGGTGGCAAAGAATTGTAATCTGAGGGGCACCTTTGAAGAATGGCTGAACAGACTGTGGTAATATAAATTTGGTAGAATACTACTATGCTGTAAAAAATGATGAAATGGGGGCAGCTAGGTGGCACAGTAGATAGAGCTC